AGCTCCATATGGTGACAGCACAAGGAAGCGGAAGATTAGGGAGGCCATTGACATCCTTGGGGATACAAATCTAATGAACAGGAGATTAAAGGAAGGTAGAGTTAGCGATAAGTTTGCCTACTGCCTAAGCAAAATCGGTGAAAACATTAGAGCAAGACCAGCAAAAAGGATACGCCTAGAGCAGGGATCTGCCGCTAACCGGAGGAAAAGGGATTGTGATGACGAAAGTGGGGGGCAGGGGAATTCGGCAATTAAGCGAAGGTGTTGTCAGTGGGTGAGGGCCATTTGAATAAAACAGTACAACTTTGGGGGTCTGGCAGTTAGGGGGCGGGGTAGAAGGATAAGCACACCGTCATAGAAATTGATGTTCTGGACAAAATGCACTAGAAATCTACTTAAGATGCCGCATGCGACCAGAGATAGGCATCCACATTTTGCTGAGATAACAGTTGTTTAATCAAGAAGACAACCAGTGTAGGGAAGGCCTAATATCTGCAAGCATGGGATTCAGAGCCTAAGCGCTCCGCTCAGTGAAGCGGCAGTGTATGTGCTTCTAGGGCCTTGAGAAATAGCACCAGGAGTGAAATGCACACAGGGACTGGACCCGAGTGAAATCGGTCAACCAGAAAGATAAGGAACTGATCTACGAGACAATGAAAGGATCTGGATTGGAGGCCCGAGTGGGATAAGCATATCGAAAGAGATGAGTGGGGGTAAATACCAAGTGTGAAGAGGCCACATTCGGTTTGTCACAAAAGGGCACACATTTTGATGATTGGAATGTAAACAAGTGAGAAGTTGTAATAGGGCGGCAGTGGGAGAGGGTAAAGAGTAGATAGATAGGCCAGGACAGGAGGAGTGATAGTGTAACCCTTTCCAGCAGAAACGTAGTCAAGGAATTGACTTCACTTGTCTCTTTGACGAGTTCGTATCTTGGTGCGGAAAATGGCAAGGCTCACTAATGATGCCGACTACGAAGCCGGCGAAACGTTTGAGAATGTATCAAGTCCACTGTCAGATGCTGGGAATCCAAACAACTACTATGACAGACGACTTCGGACTCGGTGCGTTCTGCATAGTCTGCGTAAACACAAGACCAAGTTGCGACAACGAGGTCAATCCACTTTTATAAATCGAAAGGAGACTGCGAACCTAACAGAGGCCACAACATCTTGGTCTTCATATCTTCATGGTTGGTATGACTTACTTTAGGCGCAAAGATTTTCGACCTCAATCTAATTTTTAAATTCCTGAGCTTCTTATCATGTATCTGACGCGTAGTTATGTCAGTCGCCTCTCCCAACCCGTCAGCCATGCCTTTTAACTCAATCAAATCCACATCCTTCAATATTTCAGAAAGGAATTGCCTAAACCTAGTTTGGGTTCTAATTAGTTCGTTTAGTTTGTTGATGCTTTCCGTGAGCCTAATTTTAACCAAACCAAACGATACCTGATCAAATTCCCTATTGGTGGACTTCGTAAGATTAAAACATCAACCCAGTATACAACACCTAGGAACAACATTATGAGAAATAGAAATGTTATAGTGTAGCGAGAAGACAATTTACGAGAAGTCAAACCGTACGTGCATTGTAGATACGAAGAGTAACTGGGTTTCGTTGAATTTCCTGAGATTACATGGTTGTGGGTACTTACATTTCCTATGAAAGGGCGTGAAGAAGAGATTCGTAGGTCGATCTCACCAGAAGAGGACGGTTCAATCTAGTTGTAAAGGGAGGCCCCCTTAGTTTCGGGGAAAAACAGGTTGCGTCAACCTGAACGTCATATGAAAGCCAAATGGCTGCAGTACAACGTGATTCAGCCTTCTTATTCTGGTGAGATAGACCTAGGGATACTATACTATATACTCTCTCTCTCTCTCTATATATATATATATACTATACTATCAAATATTAAATAGCTTTTTAATTAGAAGAGTTCAAAATATATAAAGGAATCAAGTGTTTTAAGAATTGGTTTGACCTCGGCGCAATTTGGTCTTGTTTTCAGGGCGATATAGTAGAACGCACCTAGCTCGAAGTCGTCTGTCATAGTAATTGTCATAATTCCTAGCATCAGACAGTGGACTTGGTACATTCTCAAACGTTTCGCCGGCATCATCAGTGAATCTTTCCATTCTCCACACCAAGCTACGAACTCGTCAAAAGAGACAAGTTATGTCGATCCCTCGACAAACTTTCTGCCCAAAATGGTTACACAATCACTCATCATTCTGTCCTGGCCTATCTATCTACTCTTCATCCCTTATCCCACTGCCGCCCTATCACAACCTATGACTTGTTTATATTTCGCTCGTCACAATGTGTGCCCTTTTATGGCAAATCTAGTGTGGCCACATCGCACCTGCTATTCACCCCGACCCCGTAGCTTTCGATCGGCTAATCCAACTCGGGCCTACAATCCGAATCCCCTTCATGGTCCCGTAGATCCAT